TCTTCCTCACTTTTTGAGAAGAAATACAAAGTTTAAAAAACCCAAGTAACTTTTTCTCTGGGAGATGAATTTCACCACCGGCAGTGCATTTCCAGAGATCTGGGCTATGTCCAAGGAATACAACAACTATTACACTCACTCCCAACGGTGACTGGCTGTTCTTCTGTTAGTGAGTGTGGGTAAAGACCAGATCATTATTTCACAAAGTTAGACAAAAATAGAATAGAGTGGTGTTGTGTTGGCTTCCTGGACTATTTGACTGCAACACTTACTGTATTTTTTTTTTAAGATTTTATTTATTTATTTGAGAGAGAGAGAATGAGAGACAGAGAGCATGAGAGGGAGGAGGGTCAGAGGGAGAAGCAGACTCCCTGCCGAGCAGGGAGCCTGATGCGGGACTCGATCCCGGGACTCCAGGATCATGACCTGAGCCGAAGGCAGTCGCTGAACCAACTGAGCCACCCAGGTGCCCTGTATTTTGTTTTTTGGTTTTTTTTAACTCTACAATTTTGAGGCCACGCTGATGGAATGTTCCTTTGTACTTTCGCTGCTGTCTGGAAATATTTGTTTTCATCTTAAGGATTAAAGAGAGCTCAGATTTCTATATTTTAGTAAGTGTGACCTAGATAGTGGTAAACAGCCCACACTTCACCCATGCCCTTTTGATACAATAAAGTGCATCTAAATAAGCCCTTTGAAATTCTGATTAGCTCAGGCAGGCTTCATTCCACTGCCAGGAATCTTGCTGTTAAAGGAGACTTCTCCCAAGCCCACCTATAAACACAAACCATCCGGAGAGAAAGAAGCAAGAAATATTTCCTCTCACAGCTAAATTGAATAAACTTTAACTCCCTTCCTTCACACGTGAAGTGTTAGATATCTCTCATCTTACCAAATGCCAGTTTCTGTCTCCTATGGGAGACATCTTCCCAAGGACTTCAGGTCTTGGCTGGCATAGCCCCTCTTTCTCCTTTCTGCTGCCTTGATGCCTCCCCTTCGCTTCTGAATCATTCCCATCTGCATAAAAAATAAACATGAAAAACTCCCCTTCTCTCATATCCCCCAGCTACAGCACCCCCTCTCCGTTCCCCCTCCCACCCATATTTCTAGAATGACTTCTCTACCCACTGTCGAGACCCCTACCTTCCTGGCACCACTGAAATGGCCCTTGTCAAGACCCCTAGTGACTGCTATGTTTTTGTCCTAATCCTTTCAACCTGACTGCTTCCTCCTCCTGGACCCTAGCCTGGTTTCTGGGTCAGCCTCTCTCCTGGTTCTCTTCCTCCCTCCCTGTCCACATCTGTTTAGTCTGCTCCACCCACCCATTTAAACACTGGGGCAGTTCAAGGGTTTGGTCTCAGGTTCTGTTTTCCTCTGTCTACACCCTCTCCCTGGCTCATTTCATCAGTACCCAGGGATTGAAATGCCCTCTTTCTGCTGTTGACTCCCAAATTTGTCTCACCAGCTCAGACCTCTCTAGCCCAAGACTGGCCCACAGAACTATCTGCCTGTGTAACTTCCTCTTATTTAATGTCTCATGGATGTCCCAAGTCTGACCAATCCAAAGCAAGGGATAATATGCATGCTGAACATTTGAGAATTAAAGGAATTTGTCCTTTTCTTCATCCCGGATGGTGATGTCTGCTCATGAAATCTGTGTGTGTATGAAGTGTGGTTTAGGTGTGTGTGAGTGTGTGTGTGGCACCTAGAGTTCTACTCCCACTCACCATGTGTACAGTGTCATTTTTTCTGGGCTTATCTCTAGTGGACTGTCTTTCCTATCAGTTCTATGATATTTTGAATCATGACAGCAACACAAACAAAAGCCCATACCCCATACATTTTCTGGAATGTTGGGAAATGTTCTATAAACTGTGATGGTTGCCTTGCTGGGACCACAGGACTAGGTCATACCCTTCCAGGCGCAGGTGGTGAGAGGGTTTACCATGAAAGAAAGAGATAGTCTCAGAGCCACCAATCCCAGAAGAGTTGGTTCAGGGCCTTAGATGTAAGTGAGGGAAACCATAATCCCTCTCTGTGTTCAAGGCCTGGAGACATTGAGGATTATAGCAGTGGGCAGGTCCCTGAGTTACATGAACATAAAACAACATTTAAAACTTTTTTGTTTAAATCAACTCACTCACCAGTCCATCTCCCATCCTGATTGTTCCCCTAAGCCCCTACCTCATCAACCATGAAGCTTCCCATCACCTGAGAATGTTTCTTTTAGCCACTCCAGGCCTGCTCTCCCACAGACCCAGGAGTGTGGTACCCTAAGTGCTGGAAGGTCTGGAACCTAATGGATGGTCCTGAGAAAGCTCCTGAGGGCCTTGGGAGCCAGTGTTCCACGAGGGATGATTTCTCTTGGGGAAGTGTCACTCATTTGACATCATCACCTGTCAGTCCCTGAGTCTCAGGATGACATCACTTAGCTTGGGACTCCAGGTGTGTTGGATGCCAGCATCGTTTGTGTTCTGCCCCTTGTGCAGCTCTGTTCCTCGCGACTGAATCCTTCAGGATGGGGGATCTTAACGCAAGGCCGATAGACAGGTATTGGAGGGGAGGACCCATGACTTTCTAAAATTGTATGTACAGTATTGCATCACTATGATTTAGGCATGTCTCTCTAAAGGGAGAGCTCCTTAGTTTTCTTCAGATTTAAAGTTGTCCAAGAAACTGCAAAAGTTCTGGCCCATCGACCTCCCACTGTCTTCCCCACAGTTTTAACTTCCTACCGATCCTAGAAGGCCTTGAGAGGGTGAGTTGTATCATGATTCTGGTACAAAGATCTGGAATGAGGTTGTCTAGGTTAGACTAGCTTCAATGCACAGAGAAAGAGAGTATGGGTTATTTGGTTTTCTGAGAAGTTGGAAGGTAGAGGAATGCATTAGTGGGCATCCTTCATTCTCCATCTTGGACACTGATGTGTGTGTGTGTGTGTGTGTGTGTGTGTGTGTAGAGAGAGGGAGAGAGAGAGAGAGAGGGAGGGAGGGAGAGACTGAGCATGAGTGTAACAATCTGATAGGCAGCTGTGTCTCATTTTTCCTGTGCCAACCCCTGTTGGCAGGTCCTAGTTTTCCTGGGCTCTGTCATGCTTAATCAAAATGGCTGGAATCTCCTCAGGGAGACCAAACACCTGCCACCAACTTTCCCACCCCCGGCCCACCTTGAACTCCTCACATAAGCCCCAATATCATCCCTTTCTCCAGAGTGGGTTTTGTTTATTTCCAACAAGATGCATACCCTACCCATCCCTCCCGGGGCAGTGGCTGTGGATGAAAGAAAACATTGTTTTCCCACCCAGGAGAGGCAGCAGCTGGTGGATGAGCGCCTCCAGAGCATGGTCAGCTTCATTTCCCTTGGCAGCGGGAAAAAGGGACAAGCAAGGATTGAAACTGGGAAGGCAGTGCCGGGACTGATAAGGCTCTAAAAAGACCGACTAGGAGAGAAGCTGGGGTGACCACACCCAGGACTGAGTAACATCCAAGTCAGCCTGGGATAGCCTGGAAACACAGAGTCAAACCTGCTCTCTGCTCTCTGACAAGCCGGGGACTGCGGTGCATGGCTGTTCTGGGGAGAACAGAATGTGTGGGGACTTCCATCACTGCCCTCCCTACTCTCCCCACTGGGGTGACTTCCAGCCTTCATTTCTGCTACCTTTTCCCACATAGTCTTGTACATCTTTCTTCCCAGAGAGCTGGTCAGGGGGCCTCCTTCATGAGGCTCTTGGTGCTGGTGTCGTGAAGAGGTGGGATAGTGCCAGGGGGGCACTTTTCCTGGCAGATGCCCTGCCCTCAACTGGGGAAGTAGCTTTGTGTGAGGAGCATGGACATCCTGGGCTTTGCTGTGAAACTGGGAGTGCGGCGGAGGCTGAATCCTTTGTCTCCTTGTCCAGAATTTTCTATGTGTAAACCCCACACATATATGAACACCTACTTCAGTACATAAGGTACTGCAGCTGGTGTCTATCCTGGATTGCAGTATAGTGTGGAGATGTATCTGCATACAAGAATATGACAATCCGAGTATTGAGGTCTCCAACCATTACTGCTGAGGGGTCTGTACCTCTCCTCAATTCTATCCTTTCGTGTCTTGTACTTTGGAGCCCTCTCGTTAAGTGTGAAATGACATAATTATCTCCTTGAAGAGTGGCCACTTTTGTTACCATAAATTGTCCTTCTTTATGTAAAGAATGTCATACATTTTGTCTTAGATTTAAAAAAAGAATAATGACCATCATTTCAAAACAAGAACTGGCATTTATTGGGCATGGACCATGCCAGATACTTTGCTAAGCACTTCACATGGATTACTCATTTTAATCCTCACAGTATAGCTGAAGTAGGTACTACTATTACAAATTTTACAGAGGAAAGTAAAGCTCATAGAAGGTAAATAACTTGCCCCAGGTCACAAAGTAGGTAAAGGTTTAAGCTGGGCATCAAGTCCAAGTCCATCTCCAAAGCCTGTGCTCGTAACCACTACCGTGAGCTCCCCCTACAAGGATGGCTAGGCAATCGGAGTAGCTCAGAGAGTGGATGATATAGGAATTCAACTATAGGTGATACAGGAATTCAGAAGAATGAAAAAATCAGGTAATTAGAAGAAGGGAGTGGAGTGGGAAGGAGAGATATAATTCTGGAAAAGAAAGCCTTGAACTCTGCCATGAAAATCCATTGGTCCCACAAAAAAAGAATATTGAGAGGACTTACTAGGGAGGCCTACAGTGATCTCAGAAACCATACCCAATCTCTCCACTCTGATAAGACATCCCTGCCCACCACATGTGAGCCTTGGTCTTCTACTCCAAGCCCTAGCCCATGTCCACTGCTTCCGGCTGGGTGCTAGTCACCCCTTCACCTCCGAATACTCTGGTGATGCTCCACCCAGATCCTCTCAGAGCCCTGCTCCTGACTGTGTGTGCTTCGCTTTGAACAACCTGCACCTGCAGCTTCCTCAGAGGCTTGACCTTGCACTAATAGAACCACTTTTCCCTCTAGGAGCAGGAATGTATAAACCGCCAAGGTCACCTGTAGCCAAGGACTGAGGACAGATGAAAGGTCAGCAAACTTGCCTCAAGATGTACAAAGGCTAAGGTGTAATTTCTACTCTGGAGCTTCTCAGGAGCCAGGCTGGTGCCGGACTTCACCGGAGGTCACATCCTTGCTTGGCTCTGTCCCTGCCTTGCCTACTTCCTCACTCCCTGTGATTGCTCCTGGGAGCACTGCCTTCATAATCGCGTGCGCACACACCTCATCTCCGGCTCTTCTCATGGGAGCCAGGCTGAAGACAGTGTGGTGGTGACGTCCCACCAACATCTCTGGGAAGACCAAGTTGACTTGAGCTGGACACCACACCAAGCCTGAGGCTCTGGGGACATTTGTGGGTCAAAGAGTCCCTAAAGTAAGTGGGGGGGGGGCGACTCTGGAAGGCAGGGAAGGGATATGGACCAACATCACCCCTCCCACAGAATTGTCAGTTGCACACAGTGACTTCTAGATTGGCAGAGGGTCTTGCTTTCAGAGATGGAACTTTGAATTTCTGCTCTGCTCATTTCCAAATCACAAGCATGTGAGGGGCTAGAGTTATTAGGAACAGAGGAGAAATCAAGTGGCTTCTGAAGGATAAATGAAGGATGAGGGAAAACATTCTGGGGGGTGGGGGAAGAACAAGATGAGCAATGAGGAGAAGGTACCCTTGGGGCTTCCATCCTTCAGTGGATCCAGAACTAGCACCACAGCCCTGCAGCCCTTCACTGAGGGTCAGTCCCCTTTAGTCTACCTGCAGAACCCTCACCCCATGGCTGGGACAGCTACTGAATATGAGCTTTCCCTTCCTTCAGTAATTCCTATAAACCATAGCACACTAAGGTGAGAGTAGGTGGTGATTCCCACAGGGATTACCTCACCTGAGGAGCCATGTTCCCCAAGTGTCAGGTAAGAATGCTCTAATGAGAAGACACACAGTGCATAGAACTCCCTCTGAGGAGATTCCACATCACCTCCTACACACACACACACATCCCTCCTATATTCTTTCATGCATGGGTTGCCCTCAGTCAGGGCCTGCTGGGTCAAGGAAGTGACCAGGCTTTGAGGCCTGTTGTAAAGCCAGACTCTGGGGCTCATGATTTTTCCTGCTTGAGTAAGCCCTAGCTGACTGGCAGCCTGGCAAAGATAACTACCAGCTCAGGTCATAGGAAAAGTGGTGGTGTTGAGAGAAAGAAAGTGAAGCACCCCAGGGCCTTAGGACCTGCCTGACAGAAATACACCACTCCCCTGCTTAAGAGTCATCTCAACTCTCTCCCTCCACACCTGCTCAGGGAGTGTGACCTGCTACCTGGGGAATGCAGGTGCCTCCCTCCACAGCCTGGCCACAGGGGACGGCTATTCCACCTCTGGGGGAAAGGAGTCTCTCCCTTGGCCCCAAAGGGATGCCCTCTCCTGCCTTCTTCCTCATTCCTGAAGTTGTGGCAATTCTTCCTCTCTGGGTGATGCCAGGTGTGGTCTTCACTGGAGTTCATCCTCCACTCAAGGGTGTTTATCCATCATGAGCTAGGAATGTGCTTCCTCCTCTCACATGGGAAGGTCCTAGGTGGTGCACAATTCCTCCTCCCTAGTCAGAACTTACACTGATACTTCTCCCCATGGCCTACTCAGGCTTCAAAGTAGGCTGAGAAAATCTTCAGCAGGAAAGGTAGAGTTCCCTGGGTCATATTTCCTTCCACTCAGGAAAGGCAGCAAATTCAGAGTCTCTCAGTAATAAATCAACCCTCAGGGACACTGTGGACAATTGTATAGATCACACATATGCCCTGTTGAGGGGATGAGTGGAGGCTGAAATTCAACCAGAGCTTTATTTGCTAAGCTGTGTACTCTGGTGTGGGATGCACTCTTTTTTCATTGCACAAAAGCACCCCTTGTACACTTCCATAATTCATACAAGACTCTATATAATCTAGCCTCTGACCTGGCAGCCTTGTTTCCCTTACCTTCTTCTGCCTGGAAATGTTCTCATCTTCGCAGTCCCAAAAAGTAGTCTTTCTCTTTTCCTCTCTTCCTCTTCTGTCTGGGATGGTCTAATAGAATCAAAAAAACCTACAGTCTACCATTGCCATTGAGAAAGTGACACCCATGTGCCTTCTCGAATTCTCCATCTGCAACGAGCAGCAGTCCCAGTCAGTCTGGACGAAACTTCAATGCTACTTCGCCCATCCACTCAGCCTGGTCTTCCTTCTTTTCCTCCCACAGTGTCCAGCAAGATCATTTCTTATGAGGCTTTCTCTTGAGGAGGTGAACGAGGCCAAACCAGAAAGATCCCTTTGCCCCTCCTGCAGCCTTAAGAAGTGGCAGGTGGAGCTCATGACCAGGCCTGGCTCCAGTCCCCTCTTGCTCTTCTAAGGGATATTTCTTTTCCTCTGTTGGATCTTCCTCTGCTGGGTTGTGAGCTAGAACTAAGCACCCCAGCTGGAGGCAGTGCTCAGCCCCGAGAGCAGCTTAAGCAAAGATCATGGAAAGCACCTGCTGGGGTAAATGGCCTTTGCCAGCTTTAGTCTGTCTGATGTGGTGGGGGCATACATATATCCCACACAGATGCTCTCTGTTCCTTTCCTTCCCAACAGTCTCTTTGCAAATTTTCTCCCCAGCTGTTTGCAAGAAGCACAAAGCGAGAGTTTGTTCTTGTGTTGGAGCCCCTCAAGTTTAACTCTGAAGCCCCCTTTTGGGCAGACTTCCCTTGGGCCCCTCTCACAGATGGGACTGGGGGGCTGGATAGAGGATTTGGAACTGGTCTGATCCTATAGGGGGGCACACCCTGCAACCCAAGACTTCACCGATGGCACAGGAGGGCCAGACCTGTCTGTTCACAGTGTGACTGAGAGCATGTGTCCTGGGTTGGGGTTCTGTCAAGCTCACAGCCAGGCCTCAGCCTTTTCCTATGTCATGTTTGGGGGTCTAAGCACAGCGTAGAGGGATGAAAAGAGAGGCTCAGATAGACCCAGGACTTGGTTTGTACACACCATTCTCTTCTAAGAGGACTAGCACTGCTTGGACAAATAGCCATTTCTAGGGCTAGAGTGGAGAAAGTACATGAGCCTGGAATATCTTGTGTCAGAGAGCAAGGAAGAACTCACAGAGCAATGGGAACACATCAAAAGGACACAGAAACCGGCTTTAGGAAACTCCCGCTGGACATGTCTGAAATAATTTGAGCACCATAATCATGATGGTAATGGATTATAATCTATTTAATAAGATTGGAATCTTTGAGTCCATAGTGACATAAATAAATGAATGAATAAATTGTTGAAAAACAGGGTGTTCACACAATCTGAAAGTACTTCCCTATGAAATACTTATTCATTACAAGGGGGGAAAATAATCATTTACCATGGAAAAACAAACAGGTGCTCTAGGTGAACCTCACCAGTTAAGGGGACAACTTGA